ACTTAATGGTACAATGTTTGCTATATGGGAATGGGTTACCTGAGACCCAATCCCTACCACTATCCACTCTGTCTAGGTAACAAACATGCATTTGCACCCTCTGAATCTAAGATTTACAAAAAAGGTTAATGTGAGTGTAGGCTGCACTACTGCAAGTGATGGGAGATAATTAAACTACTTCAAGAGGATTACAGTAAGTTTGTGGCACCATATTTGAAGGGTGACATCATCAAATTAGAGGGAAGCTCCAGATTTTGAGAGGTTATAGCAAATGGGTTATATGGCTGGAGAAACTGGGTCTCTGAAGTCTTACAGTAACCCTGTAAGGCATTATCTTTGCTTTACACAGAAAGGAAACTGAGACTTGGAGAGAATAGATTATTTATTAAAATATAACTTGAGGCTGTGTGTGGGGGCTCATGCCTGTAATCCCAGTACTTTTGGCGAGAGGATTGCCTGAGCCCAGGAGTTTGAGACCAACCTGGGCAACATGGCAAGACCTCGTGTCTGCAATAAAAAAAAAATTGAACAGATGTGGTGCACTCCTGTAGTCCTAGGTACTTGGAAGGCTGAGGCAGAAGGGTCTCCTGAGCCCCGCAGGTCAAGGCTGTGGTAGCTGTGATTGTGCCACTGCACTCTAGTCTGGGTGATAGAGGGAGATTCCAACTCAAAAAATAAAACAAAAATAAAATATAACTAAAATGTGTTTGGTTCAGGACTCACATCTCATGATTCTTAATCTGGTATTCTTTTTGCTTCAAAATACTAGATTTTAATTTCATTTTTAAAAAGCCTGGCCTTGTTAGCATATATATATATGGAGAGAGAGAGAGAGAGAGAGAGAGAGAGACAGAGACAGAGATAGAGACAGACAGAGAGATAATGAGAACATTCAGGGTGGAAAGATCAATATGAGAAAATAGTTTGGTTATCAGAATTACAAGTTTATCAATATTACAGAAATGTATTGTCTTTTACATTTTTTTTCCTTTTTTCAAGGTTTTTGACTCCAGTGAAGAATCTGGGTATCTTGTTCTCACCATAGTTATATCAGGTCATTTCTTCATTTCCCAAGGACAGACACTACTGGTAGGTTTAATGCATAATAGTTTAATATGCAGATATATTTTTTATCTTCTCAGCTTTACATGAATTTTTGTATTCTCAGGTATCTTTAGTGTCACTGAAATTCATCAAGATCAATAAATTAAGCATTTATCAAAGGTGCTATACAGAAATGGGAAAATACAGAAACATACTGAATATTGCCTGCCCTAAAGAGGTTTAGGATTTTGTTGGGAGTCAAAGCGGATCAAAGGATTAAGATTAACCAGTATGATAAAGGATTCTTAATTGGGGAGATTGAGTTGAAGACAAGGCTAGATTTATGGAGATGAGGGTGGAAGGTTTTCCAGGTAGGGAACACAGCATATGCAGAGGGATAGATGTGAGGAATTGTAAAGAAAAGCATGCTGGTATTAATTAATAGTACCTGCCATAAAACTCTGATTTTTATAAAGATCATGTGTTCTTTGTTCTAAATATACATGTACATTTTAGGAAATTTTGGACTGAAGAAATATGTAAAGGAGAAAATATGAACCACTTTGCTTGAAAGTTTAGATTTTATTTTGCATATGGAAACAAAATAAATGAAGAAACGAGTCAGTTTATTAACTTCCAGTCAAAGAAATTGTATCAGAAAGGAATTATAACAAAAGGTTACTATATAATTTTGCTGTGAATAATGTCTATATTCGCATAAATTCATACAACAAATGTTTACTGAATATATGGGTGTAACTTATTTAATAAATATTTATTGAGTAGTATATGCTAGGCATTTTTGGGGGATGCTAGGAATATAGCAGTGAATGGCAAAGACGAAAATTCCTGTCATCATGGAATATCATCATTCTAGTAGGGAGAAACAGCAGTAAACAAATAAGTAGGCCAAGTTCATTTAAGCGACATTAACTTTCAGTGAACCCTTGCATGTTCATTTGTAATATAATGCTAGGATCCATCCCACGTGTGTAGTATTTGTCTCCCCAAATAAATGAAATGTAGCCTCTTCGTTGAACGTGAGACAACCCTCAGAGTCATCTTTGTGTTCCCTGCGACCTTTAAAACTGCAGCATGAATTGCACTGTTTTGCTTTATCTGCCAGGCAGGACCTCCATCAGTTGCCAGAGGTCAGGTTTCTTTAGCTGCCAGTGAGTACTTCAGCTGGCCAGCTGAGAGATGCTGAGTGCATGGTTAGATCACCCTGTCAACATCATGGGTCTTTGCTGAATGATGACAGTAATACAGTTTGGCTTCCTCAGACATAGGGGCCACCCCATACCTAGTCTCTGCTCCATCTCTTTGCACCAGTGGTAAATACTGTTAACAAATTGGTAGAATCTCCTTTGTATCATACATGCAATGATGTTTGCACTGCAGTGACAAAACCAAGTTTGTCAAGTCCCAAGATATCCTCTGCTGAGAAATATAAGGGTAACTCTACAATTTGGTGTACGTTGCAAGTCAGGCGCCTCATGATGACATTTCAGTCAAGGGAGGACCACACATTCGATGGTGGTCCTGTTCAATTGTAGTGGAGGTGAAAAATTCCTATTGCTTGGTGATATAAGAAAGGAAGAAAGAAAGAAAGAAGGAAGGAAGGAAGGAGGGAAGGAAGGAAGGAAGAAATGTGTGCATTTGTGTCTTCATTTTTAATGAAAAACTTTAAAAAGTAAAAAAATAAAAACTTGTTGAAATACAAAGAATATCTTGTATATATTTTAAGCTATTATTACAAGACAGTCAAAAAGTTTTTAAAAAAATTTAAACATTTATGAAGTAGCAATGTTATTGTAAGCTAAGGTTGATTTAGTATTGAAGAAAGAGAAATACTTTTAATAAATGTCGTGTAGCCTGAGTGTCCAGTGTTGATAAAGTTTGCTGTACTGAACAGAAATGTCCTAGGCCTTCACGTTCACGTACCGCTCACTCACCAAGAGCAACTTCCACTCCTGCAAGCTCTGTTCATAAGTGCACTATACAAGCATACCATTTTTTATCTTAAAAAAAAAATTTTAGAGTACAGGTCTCACTCTCTTGCCCAGGCTGGAGGGCAGTAGCATGATGATAGCTCACTGCAGCCTCTTGGGCTTATGTGATCCTCCCACCTCAGCCTCCTGAGTAGCCAGGACTGCAGGAGCCTGCTACCACATCTGGTTAATCTTTAAAAAATTTTAGAGACAGGATCATGCTATGTTTCTCAAGCTGATCTTGAACTCTTGAGTCAGCCTCCCGAGTTGCTGGGATTACAGGCATGAACCACTATGCTTGACTGCATTTTTGATCTTTTATACCACATTGGTACTGTGCCTTTTTTATGTTTAGGTATATTTAGATATACAAATACTTAATCATTGTGCCACAGTTGCCTACAGTTTTCAGTACAGTAACATGCTGTTTAGGCTTGTAGCCCAGGAGCGATAGGCTGCACCATCTAGACTAGGTGGTAGGAGACTCAGCCATCTAGGCTGGTATGAGTGCACGCTAGGACATTACGCTGCTATTACAAAACAGTCAAAAAGTTTTTAAAAAAATTTAAACATTTATGAAGTAAAAATGTTTCCATAAGCTAAAGTTAATTTATTATTAAAGAGAAATATTTTTTATAAATGTTGTGTAGCCTAAGTGATGAAATTGCCTAATGGCAGTTCCTTAGAACATGTCCCCATTGTTAAGCGATGCATTGCTGTGATATATAAAACTTTAGATATTGAGTAATATTTTTTAATTTCTTAAAATATTTTTCAAAAAGCACTTTTATTGAGATACATATAATTACATAGAATAGAATTCACTAATTTTAAGAGTTCAATTTGACGTGTTTTGATAAATGTGTGTGGTTCTGTAACCATCACCACAACAATGATACAGAACATTTCAGTCAACCCAGAATGTTTCCCTGTGACCCTTCGCAGTCAGTCCCCTCTCCTCCTCTTAGCACCCAGCAATCACTGATCTGCTTTCTGACACCATAGTTTTCCCCTTTTCCTTCCTTCCTTCCTTCCTTCCTTCCTTCCTTCCTTCCTTCCTTCCTTCCTTCCTTCCTTCCTTCCTTCCTTCCTTCCCCCCCCTTGTATCGAGGGCTGACTTTCAATAGATTGCTAGAGAGGGAACTGCTGTGCTATGTAGGAAACCCCAACCCAGAAGCAGGTCATCTACAAATGGTTAAGGCCAGGTTCCCCATGAACATGCGGTGCATGATGGGTGAGGGGATGCCTACCCAGTGTCCCAGGACCAGGGACTCCCCGCACCTGACCCCAGTTCTGACGCTAGGCGTGGGATGCCCCGCCACCAGGACAGGGCAGTTTTCCCCTTTTTCAATTGACAGATAAAATTGTATTTACTTACTGTGTATGGAATATTGTTTTGAAGTGGATGTACATTGTGGAATGACTAAATCTAGCTAATTAACATGTGCCCTACCTCATGGTTTTGCCTTTTCTAAAGTTCATGTAATGGAATTGTGTTCATGTAATTCTTTGTTTCTGGCTTCTTCCATTTAGCCTAATGATTTTCAGATTCATTCATGTTGTTGCATATTATCAGTAGTTCATTTCTTTTCATAACTGAACACTATTCCATTGCCTGAATAAAACTAACTTGCTTATCCCATTTAACTTTTGATAGATATTTGAGTTGTTTCCATGTTTTGGCTATTGTGAATAACCCTGCTAAACATTTGTATACAAGCCTTTGTGTAGGCACGTTTTCGATTTTCTTTAATGCCCAACAAAGGAACTGCTGAGTCATTTGGTGTGTCTGTGTTTAACTTATACGAAACTGCAAAACTGTTTTTCAAAGTTGCATTCGCCTAAGCAATGCATGAGGGTTCCAGATATTCCACATCCTCACCAACACTTGGTGTTGTCAGTCTTTTTAATTTTAACTATCCTGGTGAGTATGTAGTGGTATCTATGGTGGTTTTACTTTGCATTTGTTGAATAGCTAGTGATGTTGTGCATCTTTTTTATGTGTTTATTTGCCATTTATACAAGGGAGACCTAGAAAAAAAATGGAATTATTTTTTGGAGGGTAGGCCTCTTGTAGTTCAGGCCTCCCCTGCTAGGTAAGTGTTCTAGGAATCCATTGGTATCAGTAGACCAGCTAGTGTTGTTGTAAGAGGCTGCATTCGGCTTCAGTGAATTTTTCTGGAGAATTTTTTCAACGCATTTGCCCATTTCATGATGGGTGATTTACGAGCGCATGTGCCCACACCCTGTTGAGTGTTCAGCAGTTTTTAATGAAAAGTGGAATGACCCTCATTCCCCATCCTCCCTATTCACCTTATCTTACCCCAAGTGACTTTTTTTTTGTTTCCTGGATGAAAAAAGTTCTCAAAGGGAAATGTTTTGCCAATGTGGAAGAGGTGAAACAAAAAAATGGCAGAAGCACTAAAAGGCATCTAAATGAATGAATTCATAAAATGTCCTGATCAGTGGAAAAAGCATCTCAATAGCTGTATTGCATCAAACAGAGGGGACTTTGAAGGCGACTGAAGTTTGAGCATGTAAGAATAAATACACAATTTTTTATAAATAAATTCTGGGTTTTTGTGATTCCCCCTCATGTCTCATTGATGAATGTCTGTTCATGCCTTTTAACTATTTTTAATTGCCTTATTCTGTTTAGATTATAAGAGGTTTTCTTCTGGTTATAGTTCTTTTATCAGAAGTATATTCTGTAAATATTTCTCTCAGTTTGTGGCTTATATTTTCATTTCTTAGTGTCTTTTGAAGAGCAGAAGTTTAAAATTTTGAAGTGCATTTTTTTTCCTTATAGTTCTTCCTTTTTGGATACTACTTAGGAAATTTTTACCTACCCCCAAATTGCAAAGATTTTAAAAAGTATTTTCTTCTAGAAGTTTTATAGTTTTAGCTCTTACACTTAGGCCTATGGTCCATTCTCCATAATTAAAGCAATGTGGTATTGATTAAAAATCACTATATTATGGACTATAATAATGGATCTTAGGGAATTTGCTTCTGGAACCACTGAATTAATTTTTAATATATGATGAAAGTTAA